AAGAAGTGAGTCCCTCAGGCACTCGAAGAGATCTGGAAATTTGCCATGAAAGAGATAGGGGTTCCAGATGTGCACATCTGGCTCAACAAAGGCTCAACAAAACTGTCTGGGCCAAAGGCATAAGGAATATCCCATACCGTATCCATGTGCGACTGTCCAGAAAATGTAATGAAGATGAAGATTCACCAGACAAGCTCTATGCGTTGGTTACCTATGTACCTTTACCACTTTCAAAAATCTACAGTCAACATGGATGAGAACTAACTGGTGATTGTCAGACACATAAATAAAGTTACCAAAAAAAAAAAAGAGGGTGGCACCTGTGGCTCAGTGGGCAGAGCACCAGCCCCATATACCGAGGGTGGCGGGTTCGAACTGGACCCTGGCCAAACTGCAACAAAAAAATAGCCGGACGTTCTCGAGGGCGCCTATAGTCCCAGATGCTTGGGAGGCTGAGGCAAGAGAATCACCTAAGCCCAGGAGTTGGAGGCTGCTGTGAACTGTGACGCCACAGCACTCTACTGAGGGTGATAAAGTAAGACTCTGTCTCTAAAAGAAAGAAAGAAAGAAATTTCCACACACTCTTCCTTCAGTTGCTAGCAGATAGTCTAAGACCAATCAGTTTTGATAAATGGCATTTCTCATTGGGTTTCTTCATGGGCTAATAGGGTTAAGGCTTTACTGGTCTCATTTGTTATTTGTAATACTGCTTGCTGCTTCTAATTGGATAATCTGAACATATATATATATATTCTGTATCCCCATTACCCATCCTCAGCCCAGGTGGCTGGACAATTATTAGCTGGGGAGGCCATTCATTGTCACTCCAATCTTCTATTACCACATCATGTTTTTGTCTTTTCAGTCTAGACTGGCTATTTTTTAGAGTCTAGGTCTCACTCTGGCTCTAGCTCTGGCTCAGGCTGGTCTTGAACTCCTGAGCTTAGGCAATCCACCGACCTCAGTCTCCCAGAGTGCTAGGATTACAGGCGTGAGCCACCATGAAGTTTTGGCTTTATTTTACTTTAGGAAGAGAGAAGAGAGGGAGTGAGAGAGGAGAATAGAGTAGGGAAAGAGCCAGACAAGAGAGCAGGGAGATGCCATGGTATCCCAAAAGAAAAAAAA